GGCTCCAAATTTTCGGGCCCGACTTCGTTCCAAATTTATGTCAAAAATTTGGAACGGTGGGTTCCAAATGTTTGGAGCTTTTTTGGAGATTTGTACAAAATTTTGGATTTTTGGACATCGATTAAAACGGCCCTTACTACAGTATCCCGCTCAACTAGAGGGTTTCCACTAGAAATCGCTCCTGAAATCGCTCCTAAAGTCGCTCCTAAAGTCGCTCCTAAAAAGCGCTCCTAACGACGCGTCGGTTCACGCGGATAGATGGTTAATCGCGCCGCTTGTTCCGGTTTGGGGTCAACAAGACCTCGATTTTTGGAATCTGCGACATGCTTCGCTGTGGAAACCCTCCGGCCCCCCATCCACTCGGCCGCTCGGTCGAGGTAGGAGGCAGCCCTCCACCATTTGCGATGGCGCGCCTCGCACGTGCACAGGTCCGCCATGAGCGGTACCAAAAGTGCATCCAATGAATGACAATGGCGGTGATGTTGGCCATGATGGGCGAAGAAGACCTGTTCCTGGTCATGGGCGCCTATGCCCTTCAAGAGATGGCGCTGTACGACCAGCTCGTAGCACCCACGACCCTCCCTGGTGTATGTCCCCACTTCGATTTCTTCGAGGTCATTGGAGGGTTTGACTTCAAGGAGCTCTTCAGATTCGAGAAGCCTCACTTTCTCAGGCTGTTGGATGCGCTGGAGCTGCCGGAATACTTCGAATTACACAGGTGAGTCTGATAGAGTCCCGTCCGATAGGCCATCTGTCTCATGTAGATAGACTACGTTTGTTTCAGTGCTAGGTGAGACCACAGCAGTACTGCTGCAGCATTGCGATAGGTACCGGGGTCGCGGCATCGGGTATCGCCGTAGGTGCCGGGATCGCGATGAGCATTGTAGTGCGTTGGAACATCATGGGTTAAAGCGCGGCCGGAATCGATCCGCTGGTCTGGTGTACACGCCATTTGAAAAGCTGTATTTTTTTTGTTCATGTACTTTGAAACATGAGCTCGTTCGTCGGTGGACAAATACCTACCGTAGTCTACTCCTGGTTGCTAATCGGCCTCGTATTATGACAATCTGCTGCAGCAGTTTTACTTAGAAATACACGCAACACAACAGCTGTGAACTGCCAACCGTGAGAGATGTGTGGTCCTTACCACGGGGTTACTGACACCAGCCGAAACACTGGCCTGAACAAAGGCCCTCCGAAAACACCCCCAGACTCTCAATCCTTCTCATCGTGCTCTCGCTCTCTCTCTCTCTCTCTCTATCTCTCTCTCTCTCTCTCGCTCGCTCTCTCTCTCTCGCTCGCTCTCTCTCTCTCTCTCGATATGCGTATTCCTTCCCCCGGGCGCTACTGTTTCGTTGCAGAGGGGGTTACGGGGTATCCAAAGTTCCCGCGCGGCTGGCACTGGGTGTAACTCTGTGGCGCTTGGCATGTCCGACGACATTACTCCGCGATAGACTGTTCTGGGGCTTGGCAGAACCTTTAATTTGCGAGATCTTCAACGCTACCATCGAGTGCATTTACGATCGCTGGGGGCATCTAGTTGACCAGTTGCAACACGAAGCGATCCTGCCTAAGATTGATATGATCTGTGAAGCCATTCAAGACATGGGTTCCCCCCTAGACCGCTGTTGGGGATTTATAGACGGAACTGTCCGTGCGATTGCTCGCCCGTGGCGCATGCAGAGGCTCTGGTACAACGGCTGGAAACGTAAGCATGCCTTGAAGTATCAAGCAGTAGACACTCCTGATGGTATTTTACGGCAGCTGTGGGGGCCCATGCTAGGGCGTCGCCATGACGTCGCTCTGCTGGGCGAGAGTGCCCTGCTGCAGTCTATGCAGCAGTGGTTCAACGATGACGCAGGCACTCCGTACTATATTTACGGAGACCCAACCTACCAGATATCGCCGTGGTTGATGGCGCCGTTCAAGGGTGTGCTCACGCCCGAGATGCAGGCTTTCAACACTGATATGAGCGCTTGCAGAGTGACAGTTGAGTGGGGCTTGGATAAGATCTTGGCGTTATGGCCTTATGTTGATTACGCCAAGAAGCAGCAGGTCGCGTTGAGCTCGTGTGGGCTGGGGAAGCAGTACTCCGTCGCTGGCATTTTGACGAACTGTCACTCTTGCTTCTATGGTAACTCGACATCAAAATACTTTGGAGTAGGGCCGCCGTCGCTTGGAAGGTACCTCAGTGGAGAAGGGTAGGGTTAGGGCGTTGCTGTGATCACGGCGCCTTGTGTAATCGAAAGTAGGTCGTGGAAGAACGAGCTGTAACGGTCCTGAAAGTGCGTGTGTGGGTGGGGGGATTAGACGTATGGATGGATGTTTGCAATTGGTGCGGTAGAATATCTTGTGTGTCAACGTACAGCTGTGCACATTGATGTTGTGAGGGTTTTGCGTCGCAACGTTGTCGTGCCGGCGGAAAGCTGCCGTGGTTGTTGTCGCGGTTTTGTCGTTGTTTTTTGCAGGCTTGACTAAGAAACAAGCGCTAAGAGCGTTGATGGAAAACCCCGGAAAAATCTTCAACTGATTATCTTTTGCATTCGCCCGGACTACAATGTCAGGGGAGCTGTCACGTCAACGTTTCGAACAACACCTCAATCGGTGCGTCCGAAGAAAAACCGAAACACCGAACCGCGCAGTGCAGCGATGCGTGCGGTTCGAAGTGGCGCTACGGGGATCTTGTGCGCTACGATAGCGTAACAGTCTTCCAAGAGTGGGGCAAAATCCTAGCTTGCTTGTATCAGCCCAAACGTTGGACTTCATGGATACCCTCACGGAAACTTGAACAAGTACATGTTGTTTAGAAAGTTTGTTTACCTTGGAGAAATACCAAGCAAGACCAATTTTGCATCCATCCGAGTTGCGTCAGAAAGGGGACGGGCAACTCCGGGAATACGTGCTCCAAATACTCAGAACAAATTCCTCAGATAGAAATCATGTTCAACTCAATGACCAGTTCAAATGGCCTTCGAAAGCTCAAAGGCTTCATCCATGACTTATCGAAACATGCAAAGCCTTTCCTCCAACACACATACATACGATACAAGGCCTAAGCCCGCACACAAACCGACGAAATACATCCAAACGTGTTTGGAAACAAGCGTCAATGTAGTACAACTTTCGTCGATACTGCTGCAGCTTCGATTCCTCCATCTCAGCTAATCCATCCACCAGCCCCCTGCTTGAAACCCTCATATAATAAACGCAACGAAGATTCCATTCAACATTTAATTACAGATCAACTCCGCAGAGAAAACGCCGAGAAGGATCCGAACATGAAATACCAAATTCCCATTCAACAAAATCCAAACATAGATAAACTCCGCAAGGAGAACGCGGAAAATCCATGCATGAACTACCCAACCCGATGTCAGAAATACTGCTTGTTGTACTGCTGTGGGGAGCTGGTGTCGCCCCCCCCCCCCCTCCCCCCTCATTAATTCCGACAGCAGTGCAACAATCAGGCTCGATTCTGCAACGTCCAGCAGGCCAAGTCGACATTCCAACTCCATCAAATAAGACTCCAAACACAACAATAATTTAACACCAAAATATGTCACAAACTTAAGTTCAGATACGTCTGCCGCGAATAAGCACACGCCATCGTACGAATCTGCCAACAACAATTTGTAACCCGCAAATGATTGCCTTGTCGGGGATTGTTGCATCGGAGGGACGCAGAAACAGCACGCCCCCCCCCCCAACCTCGCCACCCTGCACGCCACACGTCAAACCAACGTCTACGCATACCCAATACCAAGAGAAATACAGGCGTAAACTACTTGTGGGACAAACCGTACACAGAATATACAACCGCCAGTTGAAATGTATCCCCTGGTAACTGCCGCCCAGCCGCAACATCCCGTCTGACTCCCAGATACCAATAACAACTATAGAAATTCCTACCAGAGGCCTGAAGATATTGTCATTTAGCAAGGTGAAACGCGAGTAGACATCTCTACCGAAAAAAAAAAAGCAAACATGCCAGCAAACGAGCCAGCGACCTCGCGCCAACGACCGCAGAAATTATTTGCAGACATACGGCAGCTTCGTCAAAGGCCAAAAGAGGAGAATGGTCGACTTCAGAACCTGTACCATTACCGAGATGAAAAAAAGGGCAGGCAGCATACATGCATGTCCATCGACACGTATCATCCGCGTACCCCCCGAAGACCCCGCAGACAGTAAACTCTGCCCATCACCATGTAAATAGAAATATATGTTGGGAAAGCGCAAGCCAATACCAAAACAGAAAATGAAAGGAAGTAGACACCGTCAATTGAAACCCGTGCCTAGATACAATAATTCCCAACACTGGTCGAACAGGCATGAGGAGCAAAAGAGAAAAAAAAAGACATGAACGGAATACAAGAACAGGCGGCATGAACACGACAGATAGATTCAGTTCCATCACTTCGTGGACAAGAAAGAAAAAGAGAACAATACACAGACTATCGTAGCACAGCCTATCATAGCAACACCTGGTACCGGGCGCCTTTGTGAGGTCAGGGTTTCCACGGCGGTTTCGTCGAGGCACCACCAGCAGGGTGATTAGCGGAGGTTCCCTGCTCACCGGCGGTTCCTGCAGCTCGCCGCATTCGCTTTGCCGCACGTTGCTGCGATTGCACCGTCCGCGAAGTAGCTGCAGTTGCCATCGCACCTGCCCCCGACGCTCGTTGTGGCACGTTCCCCGCATGCACGTCGGACGCAGCAGCAGGAGCTGAGATCCCCACCGCGTGCACCCCCATCGACAGGACAGTAGCAGCAGCCTCTTGGGGTTGAAAGCCGGGAAGACCAGCCCCAGCAGTATGGGAGTTCAGGGAGCCTGGCTTTGCAGCATTCGCGATGGACTGATGTTCGGCCTGCACAACCGAGCCCGCCCCGACTGCCGCCCCTTGCGTCCCCCACGTTGCGTGCGCAGGCCAGGGAGCTGGCGTTGCGCCCGCCGCCCCCGCCGCCCCCACCTGATAACCTGGAAGTGGCCCAGCCGGCGCTCCTTACTGTCCTCCCGGCGGTGGCAGCGGCGGCGGCGGCGCTCCTTGTACCCCTCCGGGAGGGTGCGCAGGCCAAGGAGCCGGCGTTGCCCCCACCGCCCCCACCGCACCCGCCGCCCCCGCCACCCCCGCTGCCCCCACGTGATAACCTGGAAGCGGCCCAGCCGGCGCTCCTTGCTGTCCTCCCGGCGGCGCCCCTTGTACCCCTCCCGGAGGGTGCGAAGGCAAGGGAGTCGGCGCTGGTCCGGCTTGGACCCAAGGAGCAGCACCAGCCGTGGGTCCGTACGGCCCTCCGGGTGCGGATGCTTGCCAGCCCCCTCCCAGTGCCCAATTCACAGGGTACCCACCGGCACCCCACGGTGATGTGGCCTGTGGTGAATGTTCCATCCGACTGGAAATCTTGCCCAGAAGGTCGACGATCTTCGCGCTCGAAGTCTCTAACGAGAGCACGCGAGCATCCAGACCGGCGTTCTGGCCGCCGCTGCCGCTGCCGCTCCCACCCCCACTGTCATCTTGCCTCTGGAGCCTCTTGCACATGAGGCTCATCAGTTCAGTCGCCCCGTCACCGTCCGCGGGGTCAGTCCGGAAAGTTCGCACACGCGCGCTGCCGGCCTTCGCGGTCTTCTTTTGCTTGGGCACGTCGCCATTGGACAGCGCTTGGGCTTGTGCATCATCCGCCTGAACCTTCCTGGCCTGTTGTTTCGAAGCTCTTGCCTCCTCGTCGTCCCCTGACTCGTCGGAGGGATGGTCGTTGAAGAACACGGCCTCTTCCCAGTTGTCGTATATCGCGCCGCTTTTTCCTCTGATTTTCCCACCATTGGCAGCCGCTACGCGTCCTCCAGCACCTCGACTCGACTTCCCGGGCCGCTGGGCGCGGGAACCACCCTGCCGACTTCCGCTCTCGCCTGAACCGCGACTGCTGCTGCTGCTCCCGCCACCACGCCCCGCGCCTCTCGAAGAGCTGAGAGCCCCGGCGCCACTCTGCGTCGGCATACCTGCCGCGCCTAGACGAGTGTTGGTGGCCGCCGATTGGTCCTCTTTGGAGATTGAAGCTCGGTGGCACCTTTGCTCGTGGGCTGACTCCATCAGTTTGATGGCCATTATCAGATTTTGTTTCTGTCGTGAGAAGGCAAGGAAACAAAGAACCAAGGAAAGACACGATCGGGATACAAACAACCGGTGGAAGCGCGTGGGTAAGATGCCACCATGCTACCGGCTACAACGTTCGTCATCATTACAATAGATTGACAAAGACAGCGTTGGATGCACCGACTTTACATGGTTTTGCCTGAAATATCAAACACGACCAGGACAGCACCCTCCTGTGGCAACTCATGAATCGTTGTTGCTGTGTGACCTCTAGTATCGGCGTGTAAAATTGTTAGTCATCAACATGCAGGGTACGCACTACCTACGGTATAGCTCGATCCGTCTATGGTGGCCGGCCTGTTGAAACCCGACCCGAATAGACCAAATTTAGTTATCGCAAAGACGCGACGCCAAGAGGACTTACGTCGGAGTTATCCTCTAAGTCATCTCTCTGGTCATCGTCCATCGCCCCCTCCCCTGTTTTCTTCGCGTCGTTCTTCTCCTCGTCCTTGTGATTCTTTTTCATCCGCCTCCAGGCCTCTTTCAGAGTCTTTCGGCCGAAATCGTTCCTGTGGGGGGGCTGGCAAGCGAGTGTCAAACACGAACAATGCTCACGCCGTTGAAGGGGGTGGCGGGCGTGGAAGGTGCGGGGGGACGCGGGAGGGAGGGCTTTGTAAGAAAAGTAGTTGTCGCTACACCGATCCGCCATCATGTCACACGGATATTTATACCGTGACAGACATTGGCGGTCGCTCTTGCGACAACCGAAGACATAAATGAAGACATAAATGACTATCAGTGTAAGGATTTCAATGCCCAAGTGAAGTCTCCGAGAGGTGTCATGGAACCAGCAAAATCTAACATACAACAGCCTACAGCGGGTAGCCCGTATTCCATGGGGTTTTTACAAGAAGCGGAGACGGGAAATGATAACGATATCCGTGCCGGCGACAAGCAACGAGGGCACGAAGGGAGAGAGTCAGGAGCGCCTCGATATTTTCAATTGTCAACCCTGTTTCCACGTGGAACAGGTGTACAGAGTACCTTGCTGGCACCGTTCCTTGTTCCCGCATGCCCCGGTCGTACTACGACCACGGGGCGGTGCGGCTGAGTTAGACCTATGCACCTACACCCAAAGTCCGAGCATCCACTTATCGTAGTCTGCCGCTCGACCCAACAATCCTCGCGCCATGCATGCTACCACTCTGTTCCAAAACCCCGAGATATAAGTCGGATATGCACATACCCCCCCCCGGTCGCCCAAGTAGTCCACGAGGACGGATTTTTTTTTGCCGGTTCTCCCGGTTTGTAAGTTTGGGGGGGGAAATAACTTTTCAGTTATTTTTTCCCACAAACAGCCCCGTTTTTCCGTGTTCCCTGCTTTTTCCGAAATGATTTTTTCCCGGCCCAGGCAAAACGTTTCCTTTTCCCCCGGCCTGGACAGGGGTTTGGTTTTGGTTTCGACACAAAGGGCACAAAAGGGGGGGGGGGGGGGGGGGGTCGAAATGTTACAAGAGTGTACATCCTCGGTATCTGTGGACAGCAGGCACAACAGATTAGCTCCGGCACAAACGAATCAAGATCTCGGTGGCAAGGGGAGTGACGACGTCGAAATATTACTGAAGTTTGTACTCCCAAGCAGCAACACTATTATAGTCGTTCTCTTTTTTTTTACTGCGAGTAATACTAGCCTGGGAGGTGGAACAGGTGTTTTAGACAAAAGCACCTCCCGTAGGATCGTGCCTTTTGAGGGACTGGTTATGATTTCTTGGGGGCGCCGGTGACGCACGGCTTGAGGGGTGGGCCTCAGGAAGCTCAAAGCAACATCGCCTGCCCGTGGCTCAACTCTTTCGTGTATGTAAGGCAAAGAAAATACAAGTAATGGGGGACCAGACTGCTAACAGGGAAGGCACAGCAGTTCGCATGAATAGTAGATCCTTTCGCACACAAAAGTAGAGAGGGGTACAACAGCAGTACTTCCACCCCGAATGGGTGGCGTGAGGGAGCGTGTTGGTATACCTCTGTTTTCTCTGTAGGGATGATGCACATGAACGGTATCGGACGGACGGACACTTGGGCAACATTTTTACATCCCCTGGCTGCTCTTCTCTCTCAACTTTATTCGCCTTGGCATGCTCCACATATAAATATTTTCGTGTTGTAGAATTAACAAAACAAGCAGAGAGCAAAACAGGCAGCACCCCCTGTCGGCGAGCCTGAAATTAAGAGCGATTTGACAGTGCTGCTCTTTTATAAGTGGAACAAATAAATATGTCGCGTACCGGGCTTATTCTTGAGCTTCTTCACAGGAGCGACCTTCCTCGCAGGAGCGACGTCCTGCTGCGTGGCGCCTCCTCCTGACGGGTCTGAGTTGCCTTCTTGCGAGGTGTCATGGTCGGCGGCATGTGCAGAATCATTAGGGGAAAAACCAAAATAACATTAGTGTAGTATGTAGTCTACAGCAGTACGGATGCAGAGGTTTTCTTGCTTCACTTTAACAGCAGTCGTTTCGTCTCTCCGGGCGCCTTCAGATACACATCAGACAAGGGATCCAGAGAGATATTCCTCACCCAGCTTGACCCAGCGCCGAATTACGTTGTGCCCGCCTATATAGCTTTGTTGGGGATCATTGGGCCAGTGGGAAAGAGAGGCCAGCGATGACAGACATAACGACAGAAGTCGCAGCTGACACTCACCGCCAGCATTCGACTTACCCTTCTCCTTCGATGTCTTCCTCCGCCCCTCCTGTCCTGTTCCGCCCACGGACATATCCGAAATGTCGCTATCCTCCGAAAGAGAAAGGGCAGGTTTGTTTAAGGCGTAGACAAAGGCGTAGACAAAACAAACCGAGGTTTATTGAAACAACTCGAATTGCCATACTGTTTATATTGGGGTACCCGGAACGCATTGCGTACTGCGGGGCCCCCTCGGTCGAGAGGAGGAGTCGCATAGGTTACCATTCTGTTCAAGCCTTGTGTCCACAGAGTCTTAGCGTGCCAGAGAGAGAGTATCGCAGAGACAACTAGCGAGGTGGTCACATAGAAGGCTTCTAGCGGTGTGCCAGCCTCTGGAGCTGACAGGAAGTGGAGTCTTTTCTTGCCTCCTCTTCCAGTTGGGAAATCGGGCTACCCGAGCTACAGCAGTCGTAACTGAGAACTCGGGGTCCCGAGATGTGACGAGAGTGGAGAGGAGAGCAAGGACGCCAGGCGCCGGCAGGCGTGGCATCTAGGGCGCAACACTGAGCGGTATGTGTTGTGATGTGATGACAATGTGGGATGATGTGGGAAGAGAGCAAAACCCACAATGTGTTTTGGTGTGTCAAAAAAAAGGAGAGACACAACCCCAACGGAGTGTTTGCATGGGGAGAGAGATCCCGCTGCTGCTGGGTTGATTCGGTGGCGTACCCAGTCACCCATGTCGCACGTGATTCAATGACTAAACACATCAACCGGGTTTGGTGGTCGAGGTTGGTGGGCCTGCTTCGACAGCGCTGGCTGTCACGGCTGTTGCCACCGTACGAAGAGTACGCAGTCATGTGGATGATATACATACACTCGCAAATACAGCAGTTGTTCCGCATCGATGCGGGAGCAAAAAAAAAAAAAAAACTGTGGGTTCTGTGGCGTTACGTTCACGATGTTGAACGTGGTTTCAATACCGGCTCCGCATCTAACGAGTGTGTGGTGGCCACAGCCAAGCAAGACAACACCCACAAACTATTATTGTTTGGTGTCGATACGCGATGGAAGTACATACACGAATGCTGGATCACATGGTGCGCTGTAGACGAGTGTATCATATGGACTAATCTGGCCTCAGATTTGCGTTGCAGTCGTTTTGAATCACATGGTGTCCTGTACACGAGTGTGTATCACAGGGGATATTCTGGATTCAGATTTACGCTGCAGTCGATAAAAGCCAGAGATTGTGCAATTGCCAGCGAAGTATGTGGACACTACTTACAAAGTTACAAAAAATTGCTGGAGACTTGCCGTGAGAATCGAGGCCCGATTCGACGGAATCCGTCGAAGTCCTCCCAGAGTACATACAATTGTACTGAGAAAGTTGCTGGACAGCACCAAGCATACCTTGACGCCAGCACGTTGTTGATCTAATAGCGATCAGTCGATCGTGGTATGATCATGAGTGTGCATACAACAAGTATTGAATGCCGGAACCACACACATCAATAGTGTGTGGCGGCCGTGGTGGTGGGCCTGCTTTCGCAACAGCGCTACTCACCACGGTTGTTGCCTGTGTGGCGATTCACGCATGAATAGAGAAAGTGTAAATGCCGGAACCACACACATAAATAGTGTGTGGCGGCCATGGTGGTGGGCTTGTTTTCGCAACAGCGCTACTTGCCAGGGTTGTTGCCTGTGTGGCGATTCACGCATGAAATCAGAGATATGAATGCCGGAACCGCACACATCAATAGTGTGTGGCGGCCGTGGTTGGTGGGCTTGTTTTCGCAACAGCGCTACTTGCCAGGGTTGTTGCCTGTGGGCGATTCACGCATGAATACAGAGAGTACGAATGCCGGAACCACACACATCAACAGTGTGTGGCGGCCGTGGTTGGTGGGCTTGTTTTCGCAACAGCGCTACTTACCAGGGTTGTTGCCTGTGTGGCGATTCACGCGTGAATACAGAGAGTACGAATGCCGGAACCACACACATCAATAGTGTGTGGCGGCCTTGGTTGGTGGGCTTGTTGTTCGCAACAGCGCTACTTACCAGGGTTGTTGCCTGTGTGGCGATTCACGCATGAATACAGAGAGTATGAATGCCGGAACCACACACATCAATAGTGTGTGGCGGCCGTGGTTGCTGGGATTGTTTTCGCAACAGCGCTACTTGCCAGGGTTGTTGCCTGTGGGCGATTCACGCATGAATACAGAGAGTACGAATGCCGGAACCACACACATCAACAGTGTGTGGCGGCCGTGGTTGGTGGGCTTGTTTTCGCAACAGCGCTACTTACCAGGGTTGTTGCCTGTGTGGCGGATTCACGCGTGAATACAGAGAGTACGAATGCCCGGAACCACACACATCAATAGTGTGTGGTGGCCATGGTTGGTGGGCTTGTTTTCGCGACAGCGCTACTTCCCAGGGTTGTTGCCTGTGTTGCGATTCACGCATGAATACAGAGAGTACGAATGCCGGAACCACACACATCAATAGTGTGTGGCGGCCTTGGTTGGTGGGCTTGTTGTTCGCAACAGCGCTACTTACCAGGGTTGTTCCCTGTGGGCGATTCACGCATGAAATCAGAGAGTATGAATGCCGGAACCACACACATCAATAGTGTGTGGCGGCCGTGGTTGGTGGGCTTGTTTTCCCACCAACGCTACTTACCAGAGTTGTTGCCTGTGGGCGATTCACGCATGAATACAGCAAGTGTAAATGCCGGAACCACACACATCAATAGTGTGTGGCGGCCGTGGTTGGTGGGCGTGTTTTCGCAAGAGCGCTACTTGCCAGGGGTTGTTGCCTGTGTGGCGATTCACGCCTGAATATAGAGAGT